TGGTGGCCCAAGAAGTTACTGATGTTATTGCAGACTGAAGGAATTGACAGAGATCTGGTATGGATGTGCCAGATGCATAGATGGTTAAGTCATCAACATATAGTGATGCCCGGGCTCCTGGTGGTAGGACTGAGACTATGTCATTTACAGCAAGAAGGAATAAAGTGGCACTAAGCACACTTCCTTGTGGGACGCCTTCGAATTGAGGAAAGGATGATGTGGAAGAGGCAATTTTGACCTGGAAGGTACGTTTAGAAAGGAAGGATTTGATGAACACGCCCATGTTTCCACGTAAACCTAAGGACAATTGTTGGAGGATATAGTATCGCCATGTGGTATCATATGCTTTTTCTAGATAAAAGCATATGGCTAATACGGATTCATGGCGTGCAAATGCCGATGTAATATGTCTCGAAATGGGCAAGTGGGTCTGCTGTACTTTGGGCACGTCGGAAATCAAACTGGGAAGGGGAAAGGAGATTATGAGATTCAAGATAACACAGTAAGCGGAAGTTAACCATTCGTTCTAGTAGTTTGCACAAGCAGCTAGTTAGAGCTATGGGGCGGTAATCTTGGGGTAGGGTACCTGATTTATTGGGTTTTAAGAAAGGTAGGATAAGAGCATCTCGCCAATGAGAAGGAAAATTTCCTGACGTCCAAATGTGGTTGAAAATAGTTAAAAGGAAGGATAGAGAAGAAGATGGGAGGTGTCGGAGCCTACGATAGTGAATACCATCAGGGCCTTCATAAGTGTTGCGGCACGACTGTAATGCAGCGTTGAGTTCAGAAGAAGAAAAAGGAGCATTATAGGACTCATCAGAGGATAGGGTGAAGGTAACAGGGATGCGTTCTTTGATGGCTTTAATGGAAGAAAAGTGTGGGGAAAGGTGAGAGCCACTACTGACCTGGCTGAAATAGTTGCCTAGTCCATTAGCTACTTCGACAGGTCTAATTGTACGGCGAAGATGGGCAGATGCCTTTTTAAAGGAAATAAGGGCTGATAGCTGGTGAGGGGTGCCTCGTTTGTAGCGATAGCCGTTCCAGGCTGCTCGTTTTAAGCGAAGCGCTTTGGTGCAATCAGAATTCCACCATGGAACACATTTAGAGGTATAAGGTCTTGAAGTTCGAGGGATGGCTGTATAGGCAGCTCTTAGGATCGTGATTGTAAAACATTGTAGCATATCTGAAATAGACGGTAAGGAGGATAGGTATAGTAGAGAATGAAGTGAAAGTATGCCAGTCAGCTCTATCAAAGCACCAGCGTGGAGGATTAGGAAGTGGTACATATGAAGTAGGAGAAAGGAGTACTGGGAAGTGGTCTCTATAGGGGAAGTGGTCTAGAACTGACCAATGGAAATCTAAATGTAAAGTAGGAGAGCATAGAGAGAGGTCAAGGCATGAAAAGGATTGTGTGCGCATGTCAAAGTGTGAGGGGCGATCTGAATTAAGAATAATTAGGTTATTTGTGAAGAGGAAGCGTTCTAGAGATCGGCCTCGAGAGTTGGTGGTAGAGTCACCCAACAGTGTGGCGGCAGTTGAAATCAGCAACTACGAGGAAAGGTGGTTGGGGTTGGGAAATTAGAATTTCAAAGGCAGTAAAGTCAATGGGATGGGGAGAAGTAGATTGAAATTACTATGGTCCAGCGGCGAAGAAAGATGCGAATAGCTGTGCACGGGAGAGTAGTTTGTATGGGAGGTATGACATAAGGTGTTTTATGATGGATAAGTATAGACGAGACATAAAGGGAGTGTGGGGAAGAGATAAAATGGTAATTGGGAATTGGAATAGGAGAGTGTGTGAGGAAAGTCTCTTGGAGGCAGATAATATGGAATGCAAGGATATGACGTAGGTCTGGTCTATGAGAACGGAAACCGCGAATATTCCAATATAGGAGAGCTATAGCTTATGAGTGATATCGCATACGGTACGTATTGGGGAATATAGGGGAGAAGGAGCAAGGGGGTGTGAATGAGGGGTATTAGGAGATAGGGAATTTGGGGAAGGGCATTATTGTGACAAGAGTGATTCTCGTGTGTATCCGGGAGGGAGTGCAAAAGATAGAGGGGATGGAGGGAGGGAGAATGTGCCTATAGTTAGGGTTGAAGGGGGTGATTTGTGTTGGGAGGGAGTAGATGTGGGGAGAGTATTAGTGGTAGGAGGGTGGATATCGGAAGGATGGATAGTTTGAGTTGAAGGGGATGTGTTGTCTTGAGAGGGATTAGGAGGAAGGGGTATAGGGGTGCTGTAAGAGGGGGATGGATAGCGGTGGTGGACGGAATTGAGGGGGTTAGGTTGTGTTGAGAGGGAGTAGGAGGAAGGGGTGTAGGGGGAATATTAGTAGGAAGGGTATGAATATCGGCAACCACTTCAAGTGTGGAAGGAGCATGAGTTATGGGATCTTGTGTCTTAAGCATATAACTTTAGATGTCATCCATTGTTTCTGCAGTGGAATTGGTTGGAGAGTTTTGTGGGACAAAGGCATTCTTATGGGGGGGGGGAGGAGACTGGTGTCTCAGGAATAAAGGTAAAGGTAGGTGGAGGTGATTGTGTTGTAGGGGAAGAAGGGTTAGAACGTTTAGTCTGTCTACTGCGGGTAGTGCAGGGAGGGAGAGGGGGTGGTGTTGGGGCTGTAGTTGATATTGGGGTGTCTGGGTTTAGAGTGGCAAAAGAATTGGTCTGAGGGATGTAGAATGTAGAAGTGGAAATGGGGACATCTTGGGGTGGAGGGGGAGGGGCTGAGCGTACGATGTTACTAGAGTATGGAGTATGAGAGAAACCTTGTCGACGTGCTTCCTGCCTGGCTTCACGCAAAGTGAGACCATTTTTGTATCCGAGAGTTGCTACCTCAGATTCAAACTTGCAAGTGGGACAGCCTCTATAAAATACATTATAGGGGCCGCCGCAGTAACATGTTCGTGTTTGTGCTGAGCACTTTGATCGGTTATGACCAGGTTGGGCACATATGGGGCATCGGTCTGTGGAACGGCAATGTTTGGCAGGATGTCCAAAGCGCCAACAGTTTTAACATTGACGGGGAGGGGGTTGATATGGTCGAACAGGGAGGGATTGTCCACCGATGTAGATACGTAAGGGGTCATGTGTACGGAAAGTAATTTTGGCAATGTTGGTCGGATTCTTTTGTTGACCTTTAGGAGGAATGGTGTAGCAATGTACTGATTTTCCATCTTGGTCTTTGAGGCATCCTAATGTCTTCTCCACAGTCTGACCAATCTTTGGTATCGACTGAGCAGTTTGCTGGGGAGAGAGAGAGACAGTTCCGGTACAGGTATTAAGGGTTGGATGAGGTTCTGCAGGAATGGAGTTGCCAGAATCAGTCAAATTTGATAGTGCTATAGATTCAGTTTCTGATCTGAATGTTACAAGACGGAAGCCATCGCGTCTGGTATAGAAAGGGACTCTGCCTACTTGTTTTTGGAGGCATTGTTGAAAGAGGAGAGTGTTGCCTGAGTAAGGAGCTGTAGAAGGGATCACGAAAAATCGGTCCCATTCAGCTGGGCTAAACAGTATTTAAGATATTTGTAGGGTTGGTGGTGGTGGACGGTCGGGGACGTGTGGAAGAGGGAGTATTACAGAATGATGGAGAATAATGCTGCAAGGAAGTAATAGAGGATGATTGGTTGCTTGATGAAGGTTGCGGGGGTAGAGTTGATGAATTTGAGGAAGTTGGGTGGGTAGGAATGTCTTCTGGAGATTGATTCTCTGCTTGGGTGGGTAATACACTAGTAGGCATTGAGGAGTGGGTAGTAGTTTGTGTTCGGAGCCGTGGTCAAAGGAGAGCCTGGGTTGGGGCTATTTGATAAAGGGGCTAGCCTCATTGCCTCTAATAAAGGGATTACATTTTCATTACTGGTCATGGGGAACCTGGATTATATGAAACGGCATAAACAGTCCACCCTCATGCTCTTGAAGGTAAGGGCTAGATTAGTCGGGAGTACCGTGCCCATGATTCCCGCAGGCCATTCAGGACTGGCACTAGGTCAGCCTTTCATCCTCTCAGCACGGCTCTCACACCTTAGGAAGTAGATAGTATAAGGGGATGGAGAAGAGAAACAAAAACTGGAGAGGGAAAAGACCATGCAAAATTAGTTGAGTCGAGGGCTGAGGCCCTAGGCAGGGGAGATCCCTGTATTGGGTCTCAGTCTTCGTCTCCTAAGCCCCCCCACGACAACAACGGGCAAGGGATTGGGGGGGCACTATTGTTGATAACGAGGCGTTTGCTACAGAAAAAAATGTATATACATTACATACATACATACATATATACGGTAGTATTAGATCATGAAAATATGTATTTGTGCCACTGCAAATAAAAATGTAAATGACTTCAAATACTAAATCTGATATGCAACTGAATTAAAGGCGTCAAACCAAAAATTAACGCTACAGTTTATATACGCTACATCAGTTTATATTCGCGGGAGAGATCTTTCTCGAGTGATCTCGGGGCACAGTAGGGTAGTTTTTCAGGATGTTGCTGTCGAGGATTATGATAAATTTCCACACGGTTTAAAATCATTGTGGTATACAGATTCAGGAAGCTTGTACTTTGAATTTGAGGTCTAATTCATGATGTTATTAAAAGCTTTTTTTAGTCTATTGATATGTTACATAAGCTGGGGTATTTTTCTACATGGATATAGCCAGTCATCTTTCGGCTAAGATTGGGTGGTGGGTACTGCTTTTTCTTCTGGTCAGGAAAAAGCAGTACTGAAAGGAAATCATTGATGATGCTCTACCATTCTACCATATAAATTTTGGAATAACTTTTTCAAAAGGTTAAAATTTTAGAAAAACAGCCATTGTACTTTAAGAGAATGCAGGAAGCTCGTAATAAAGGTTTCATATTTCTTGTAACACTCTTTGCTGTCAAATGTTGTATTAAAAAACAGGTTTAGCAACTTTCGTACATGAACATTAAACTTAAGTGATCCTGTTTAACTCCAATCAGTTTTGTACTACAGGTCATGGAAACAATGAATGCACAAAAATGCTGGGGTTTATTCGGCAATGGTGACTTCCACATCAACATCAGGTTCGATGCTGATGCTTGTGATCTGCTTGACCACTTCTGAAGGGGAATGCAGATCAATGACACGCTTGTGGATCCTCATCTGGAAGCGATCCCAGGTCTTGGAACCCTCACCACAGGGGGTTTTGCGGGTGGTGATACGCAAGATCTTGGTTGGCATGCGCACTGGTCCCTTCACCTTGAGCTGCTTGTCCTTTGCTCCACGGACGAGCTCGGAACACACTGATAAAAATACAAACATTTTACTGCTACACCAATAATTTAAATGTACACAGTTGAAAGTTTCAATAAATGACGAAAACTGATACTCTTTAAAAGTACTAAGAAGCTGATCCTGCACAGCACTTCAATATCCAATATTTTTACTTATCTATTAATAAACAGTATTATAGAAAAAATCCAAACCAATTAAATACATGATGCATCTACGTTTCCTATACATGACACTACTAGAAAGCATTACAATACTCCATATAAAAATTATGATCTTTGTGAAAGCTAAAATAAAGACAGGCAAGCCCAAATTTTCTTGAAAAATGAGATGAAATTCTACATTTCAAAATGGGTAAAAAGTTAAAATAGGAATCAGTACTTAATTGTAATAAACCTCTTATGAAAAAGGTACATATTAATAAATTAATATCAAGAAGTATGCACAACTCTTACCTTTCTCAAGGGACTTCACGTTGCTTGAGGTGAGGGTAATACGGATGCGATGGATGGGCGCAGCATCATCCATCATCCCCCCCTTCATGTCACTCTTGTCATACATTGCCATTCTGGAAAGGTTCAGCTTTTTAATACTTGTGTAGGGGTTTGTTTGTGCAAGTGTTTTGTAAAACAAATGCAGGATAGCAGCTATGGATACTCTTCAACAATATGCCCTTCATAAATATTTTGTTCTAACAGTTTTTAATGAAGAATTTGTATACCAAAATAATCCAAACATACATGAAATAGTGCTACTACGTGCGAGATACAGGCAAGAATTTTTTGTATTTTCTATGAGTAACAGGCAACTCTGTTGCCAAGAACAAACGAGTGCACCCCCCCCCCCCCCAAAAAAAAGGTAATTCAACCAGCATGGATTCCTTTACAAATCATCTTAATGTAAAAGAACCAAATGATGATAATACCCAAGTTTCTGGGCAATATTAGTATTCAATTCAACTTTTAAAAAGCTGTGCACATACCAAAACATTCTTGCAACTAAAATTTGAAGTAAAAGGTTCTAGTTCTGGTGAAGCAACCAGTTCAAAAGTGATAAAAATATAAGCATTGAACAGCCTCATTCAAAGCCTTATCAGGCCTGTACCATACAGAGGACTTGAAATTATTTAGTTTGTTAGTGCTTGCAGGTATTGAATTACCAAGCCTTCAAAACTTTTGGTTAATATATGACCAATGCCACTATTAAAGAAAATACACTCATTCTGTATGCTGTAAATACCTGTACAAAAATGATATAAAATGGTGCACTCCCATATGGTGTTTATGATACACATTTTAAACTATCATGGCTCACGCTAACTGCATTTTGGTGCTAAGTACTAAACCTTCTACACAATATAATTACTGTTTGATGATATGTTTAGTTGTTTAAGCATTACTACACACTTGTGAAATGGAGCATTTTCAAAAGAATGTCTGCTCTTTCATGTTTACGTGTTCAATGAATTCTTTTAATATCAAACATGTTTTTATGTTTTATAACTACTTATACAATTCTTTATAATAATCTGCACATATACATTCAAGACCATTAATTATGACTTGCCCACAAGTTTTTACTTCAGCACAGTTGCCAGCAAGGTTTGTTTAGTCTGAACAAATTTATGGACCATTCTTTTTAAGAGTACAGTGGTGAAGCCTATTAACTAATAGGCATGTATATAAAACATGGTGTTATTTCAAATATTACACTACAAAAATTTGAAAAATAGGTGCAGGTTACACAAATCCACTTCAAATATTATTACACCTACATTGTACCTAAGGTAGATAAATTGTGTAATGTGTATTTTTAGGTCTGATTTGGTAAATTTAAACAATATTTTGTAGTTCTAGTGCAAATGGGCTACAGGTTAGAAACCATCTACAACTAGGCCAGTTTAATTGGGATTTTTTTTTTTTTCACCCGTGTCCTCATAATAATGAAAATCAAATTGGAGGGGGAAATTATGCAGTTGAAATTGAACTAAAATTAGGAGAATTAAAATATGATGAGTCACTGACAGGCAGTGGGTGTCAATTTTACACAGACAAAAGCTATTTTCCTGGTTCTCTTAACAAAAGGGACAGTTAAACCATTCAACACAATAAAAAAATGCTCAATTCCTAGTACCACCACAGCATTTCTGGAAACACATTCAAAAGTTAATTTCCAGGATTAAACAATAAATCAAATATAACTCAACTGGGTGACTAGAACCCACAGCAATAATATTGTGATTAAGTGGCGGGATGCAAAGAAGGGCGTGTCAGTGTTTGGTCACTGGAAGTGCCATTTTGAAGGATACCTTGCCTGTGTTGAGTTCATGGTGTGATTTCTAGAAGCTTATAAGAGCTTCTACCAATTTCTTCAGGCTGCAACAAAGCTGTATCTTCCTTCAGCCTAAGGTCAAACAAATGGGGATTAGGTGTAAATACCACAGGGTTCTGCTGCCTGCTACTGGATTAGGTTAATTATATAATAGGAACATGGTGCAGAAATACCACACACTGTCCAGTTTGCTTATATAGTGGTGGGGGTCCTCACTTTCTTTTCATTGACTTTTTATTTGTGAATCTATGAATACTTTGTTTGTGGGCATGTCTGTAGAGTTTCAATTGCAGATTTGTACACTGTAAAACTTGTTTTCTTTGTATTACGAGCAAGAGGGTGATGCAGTTGCACATTTAAACATGAAATTTTAAATAGCTACATTACCACATGCTTTTTACTTATTTTGAATTTCATGAAATATCTTTGCCTATCACATGTCAGCATGTGTGCAATTGGCATGTACAAAGAGTAGGTAAAGCAACTGTGGTAACCTTCCCAACATTTCTCTTGGCTATGAGTTGTGTCTACAATATATGTGCGCTTGCGCGTGTGCGTGTGTGTATATACAATATATGGGGGGGGGGGGGGGATGGAGAGAAAGAAAAATATATCTTCTTAAAAGAACACAGGGTTCTGCCAGCGTTGGTAAAAGATAAACTAAACAGGACAAGTTGCCTTTTCCAACGAGCACTTAGACAAGCACGTTTCAACAGGAGTCTCATTTGGCATCTTTCAAGAATACTTTGCAAAACATTGGCTTTATAAATATCAGAATAATGCAATATCAACTGTGCTAGTATATCAAAACCAAATGGCACAGATTGGACAAGTTTTTGGAAGTAACCCAAAATTGTGGGTCACTCAGCTATACTGAGCATTAACAAAAATGTGCTATTGCAGTTACTGGGTAGTGACTGCAGTGCTGACATGTTCATACCCCTAGCTCAAAAATACCAAAACCCCCTACTCCATAATCCGCAGTGATGGATGGGCCACCTATCATAAACTACATTGTTAAAAGCACCTGGCAAATCATTCTGCAAGCTCTGCAGACCTAATTTCTCAACACAAAAAATAGATAGACTAGAGAGATCTTAAAGTCCTAACCAACAAAACAACCTAACCTAGTCTCTGGAGGGGTTATCATTCTCGGGATTAAATACCCAGTTCATGTATTAATGAGCAGTTTGGTA